TTTCCTCCTTTGTTGATTTGCCTTATTCACTGCTTGTATAATAAATTGATACATAAATATCAAATGTTTGAACTTGAAAAAATTTATTCTAATAGCTGTATTAAAGGAACCTGAATTTCTCTTATCCCTGACTTAATAGTTTTTTTGTATGGGTTAAAGGAAGATGTAAGTTTTCCTTAGGTTAGTTTGTGTGGGATATATAGACTTGTATGTAAAAAACAGTTCAACTTGAACATTTACACATACATGCAATACGTACTGTTTGTTACATGTTAGGCACTGTTATAGATGCTGGTGACATTAGCAACGAGCAATAACAACAAAAAACAAGCAGACTTCCCTGTCCTTGTACAGCTACATTCTAAAATTAATACAGAAAGGTTTGCAAATTCCTTTTTGCAGTTGAAAGATTTTCCCCAGTTACTATTGAAAAGGATGTTATAAAATAGCGTTGTTCATCCCTAGAAGAAATTGCCATAAACTAGGTTTATTTTAACTGATTTTTAAGAATTACTTTCAACTGTGAAGTAATTGAATTTCCATTGGTTGTTTAAGATTTAGTGACCTTTCTGATTATGCCGCTTTGATTCTTTATACCTTGTGGAGGTCCTCTGATTATCTTTATCCCCAAGTTGTTTTTAAAGTGGTGCCTAGTACAGCAGTGTGACAAATAGAGGTTGTAGATCTCTTCAATTGTATCCTCCAAGAGTTGGAACTTTTATGGAAATTTATTTAGTAAAGTGTATTTGCTATTTTTTTAAACCCTGGATGAGGCAAATGGCACAACTTTTGACAACTAAAAAATTGTTGATTCAAGCCCCCTTGGAAGAAAGGCCAGGAGATGTGCTTCTAAACCAGTCCTAGCTGAAATACCAGGGGACACAGCCCTGTTCTGCAATATGTGGGCTGCCATATATCACAATCTACTCTATGGCAATTAGAAAAAAAAAGGCAATGTTAGATGATGTTGCATTATGCATACTATTAAAAAATATTGATATCCCTTAGTTGCTTTATAGAGAACAAATATGAATAGGAAAAGATGCATAAAATGAAATCATTGGTCAAGCCCAAGAATATGTACATAATAAAATGCTCAATCATTATTATCTTTCTTATGAACTTTGGATTCTGACTATTCTCCTATTAGAACCTCATGTGCAGTCTTGACAACAAGTGTATCTCTCTCATTTTGCCTTTGTTCTAGTTGTTCTCTTTCCCTGTAATGTCTGTTGTTTTTTATCTGTGTCTGAACCTTTCTACCCTGAAGCTTTCTTGCATTGTGTCAGCTGCAAATAATAATATTTCCTTCTAATGATCCTTTTGTGCATATTACTAATGCTGTTACGGAACCTTTATTTCACGGTTATAAATCCTTTATGTTGTACTCGTGTTCACGTAAAATTTCAAAAAGGTTAAAAATAAAGTCAAAAAGGGACTGCGTTACAGCTACCCTGTCATGAACACAGATGCTACCTTGAATTCCTTCATGTGAAGGAGACATCATGTTTCAAGGCCTTGTCTTCACATCTGGAAATCTGACTTTTCTGTGTCCTTGAGTTCTTATGACACCAAAGACTGGCTGAAATTAACAGCGACATCCACAAGAGAGCAGTGTATAAAGACTCCCAGTTCACTCTGTCGGAACTTGTATAGATTTTAAACACCGTTCTGCTCTGAAGGGCGCTTGCCTTCCAATTTTTGGTACCAAGATGCTTGGAATACTGAATTAGAAACCAAAACATTGTTTGGTGAACACAGACTAGGAGAATGGCAGAGGATATTGCTTTTATGAAAGTGTACTTGCTTTTATCTCTGGTTAGATCCTCCTCTCTGTGTAACCAGAGATCCCCTTCAGTCCAGCCTCATTGTTGTTGTTTTTTTTCTTTAAAAATTGTTGAACTGACATCTCTTGTTTTTCTAAAAACCTCCACCTTTGCTTCCATCATGATTGTCAGTCTTCTCTATCTTTTCTTTTGCTATGTTGCTATGTATAGATTTTGTTCTTGGTAATTGTTTAATATATATGCACTGATATTATTGAAACTTATGGCATTCTGGGAGCTACTTAAGAATTAAAGATTTCTGTCTCTTGACATGGAGACCTGGTGGCGCTTTGAGATAAGCACTGGAATATTAACTGCAAGGTTAGTAGTTAAAACCCACCAATCCCTCTGCAGGCGAAAGAGGATGTTGCCTGCTTCCAGAAAGATTTCATTTTGATCATTCAAGGGAGCAATTCTGCTCCCTGTATAGAATCACTATCAGTCAGAACTCACTTGCAGGCAGTGAGCTTGAGTTGATTATCTCTTTGTAGATGTAATCTGATATGGCTGAAGAATCAAGTCTAGTCTGTGTCCCTTTTGCTCCCATAAAATATCTTATCCATTTTAGTCACTTGGTTAATAATTTG